AAATTACTAAATAATAAGTAAGAGTAGTAATTAGTAAATAATTAGTTTGAGTAATAATTAGTAAATAATTAGTTAGAGAAGTAATTATTAACTAATTAGTTAGGGAATTAATTAGTAAATGATTAGTTTAAGTAAAAATTAGTAAAGAATTAGTTAGGGAAATAATTACTAATTAATTTGATTGGAGTAATAATTAGTAAACAATTTTATTTAGAATTTAGTTCACAATTTACAGTAAAAATCAAAGTAGGAATTTTTTTTTCTTTTTTGCTATCAAAAAATCATTTTGTCTGTGAGAATGGAAGGGTGCGGCATAATATGAATACTCTGAGAATCGTCCTTAGCGTGCGTTAAGACTCTCTTGGAGGTCACCAAGCCATGACGCAGAATAACTGCTTCATTTGCTAAGTGAGCTGCTTGTAATCAAACCGATTACTTTTGCCTCTGAATTCCCAAAAGGGCGTGGCGATTAATGCAAATTTAGACAAATTTCTCATCTCTTTTTTTTCTTTAACCTTGCAAACAATACTTATCCCTTCAAAAAAAAAAAATAATAAATTATGTTTTTTTCATTAAAAAAAAAAGGTGGACAATAATTTAAATTTTATTTTACTAATTCGATTATTATCTATAAAATAATTTAAAAACTTAGCTAAGTAAATGTTTAATTTACATTATTTTTTATTTTAATTATTTCCTATTTTTGGATTATTTAATTTATTTTTGAAAAATAATTGAATAAAGCAAAAATTTGTTCTTTTGAACTTTCAAATACTTTTGTTGGTCTCTAAATCTGAATTAGTTAAAATTTTATTTTTAAATGACTCTCGAGTCAGTAAGTGACTTTTTTTGCTTTCGAAACAAGTTAAAATTTTAACTGATTTTTCAGTACAAGATTTTTTTAATTTTCTAGTTGTAATTTCTTACTTAATTAATTAAACGTATAATAATTAATAATTCATTAATTTTAAATATTCACAAAATTTTTTACTAGTAGTAATTAACCTTCGACTGATAATAAGTGATTTTTACTAGTAGTATTTAGTTACTTTCTACTGACAATTAATTATTTTTTATTAGTATTTAGTCACTTTCTACTAATACTTACTACTAAATAATAATTTCTACTCATAATTTTCTACTAATAAAAATAGTTAGTTCTTACTAATAATAATGAAGTTTCTACTAATAATTAGTTATGTTCACTAAAAATAATTAATTTTTCTTTAATTATTAGTTATTTTCTACTAAAAATAAGTAATTTTTTTAATAATAAAATAATAATTAATTTTCTGGTAGTAATAAATAATTTTTTCTTGTTGATAAAATAAAAGTAATAAATTATAAAACAAAAAAGAAAAAAAATATAATACTTTAGTTCTTTTTCACTGACTGCTAACTTACAAATAACAAAACTAATTCGAATCTAAATTTTTTTTAAATTAAATTATTTTCCAAATTTGCAATTAGAATTCTTCAAAAATACGATTATATTTCAAAATAATTTTTAAAAGTAAACAAATAAAATTCATTAAAATATAAAATTTCTTTTAATAAAATTTTACAAAATTTGCAATTGTTTCAATTTTTAAAAATTATTTTCGGAAATAAAATTATTTTTAAAAAATTTAATTACATTTTTTCAAGAAACAAATTTTTTTCAAAATTAAATTATTTTTTTTTTTGAATTCAATTATTTAAAACTTTCAGAATTTTTAAAAATAATGTAATTAATAATTTTTTTTAATAAAAATTTTAATATTTTTATACTTTTGATTTCCTTAAATTTTCAAGTAATTTATTTAAAAAATTTAATTAATTCCTAAAATTCCGATTATAACACTTTAAATATTCAATTATTTTCTGAAATTTTAACTCTAATTTTTTTAATCAATTCCTATCAGAATTCAACGACAAGAATTGAATTATTTGAATAGAATAATTTTTGTAAATTCATAAAAGTAATGATAATTTTTAAAGATGAAAAAATAAAATTTTTATAAATATAAAATTTTACAAAATCTCCAATTGTTTCAATTTTTTAGAATTATTGTCAGGAATTCAAGTGTATCTTCAGAAAAATTTTAATTACTATTTTTCAAAAACCTAATTTTTTCTGAATTTCGAAATAAAATATTTCTTTAAGGGCATTTGAACCTTGATGACGTCACACATGCTTTGCACAATCTGTAACGTCATCAAGGTTCAAATGCCCTTAATCATTCTTGTAAAATAAATATTTAAATACTTATTTTTTTTTGCTTAAAATTTTGAAATAAAAAACTTTTAATGAAAATTTTTAACTGCAAATCTTTCGAAATTGAATTATTTTTCTTAGAATTTTTTAATAATATTATCCAAAACTTTTAATTCTTAAGGAAGCTAACAAGTTAATAATTTTTTATATTTAAAAAAATATTGTTAAAGTTTTACAGCAATTAGATTTTCAAAGATTGAAATTTAAAAACTTTTTGAAATTCAATTATTTCTAAGAATCCTACTTTTTAACACTTCTATATTATTTTCTAAAGTTTTAACTTGAAACTCTTTTTTAAATCAATTCTTATCAGAATTCAATTATTCACTTCTCATAATTATTATTATATCGAATTAGTATTTTTCAAAATTTTTGTATTATTCAATAATTTTTCAAACGATTTTCTTTCTTGTATAATAACCAGTTTTTATAATTTTATTTTATTCGAATAATTATTTTGCATAATTTTTTTGTTACCGAAATTACATTTTAAATAATTTTTTATTACTTTTTTCATTTTTTTCTAATATTTATTTTTACTAATAATTAATTTTAATAATTTTTATTTCCCCTAATTTGTATTTTATATAATATCCATTTTTTCTAAGCTTTAAATCTTCTAATTTACAGTTTTTCGAATCGTTATTTAACAGAATAAGAATTGCACATAATAGTTTAATAAAAATATTAATGTAAATAATAAATATAAAAAAATAATAAATTTTTAGAACTGATAATTCGGTGATTTGAAGATTTAAATATTCTTTCGCAGTAATAAACATTCTGTCTATGGGTCATTCAAAGACAATAATGTTTCTAAAAATTATTTTTTCCATCAAAACAAAATTATAATTAATTTTTATTATTTAAAAAGAATTTCGATAAAATAAAGATTCGGGAAATAAAAAATTGGACACTTTTCACGCACCTCATTATGTCGATTATTATAAATTATAAAAATCACAACTACAATTTAAAAGTTTAATAAAAAATTTCTTCCATAAAGTAAAATAAATATTTATTTACTAAAAAAATGAATGTTTTACTATATCAAAAAAAAAAAAAAAAAAAAATTTATCGTTACTTCCCCCTTGCGCATTCAACTAATGAACCTGGTTATGGACCATGAAAATGTCTTCAAAGAGTGGAAGGGGGTTCAAAGGCTATATTCAATGTGGTAGACAAGGTGAAGGGAGGAGAAGGAGGGGGGAGGGGAGTTAGTGGATTGAGGAGAAGAGAGGGTGGTTATGGAAGACAATTTACGGGATTAGCCCCGTAATAAGAGACCAGTGTTTTTGGCTCAGCTTGGCATGGGACGGTGTGTTGTCCGGCCGCCGGATCACCGGTATGGCATGGAATGAGGATAAAATGGGAAGAGGGAGGAGGAGGGGGGTAGTGGGAGTGGGTGTCCAGTGACGGTGGGTCGTCATGGTAACCGACTGCAACCACCTCACCCACCCTGTGCATCCCCATGGTTGCAGTTTGAGTTTGCGAACGAAGCTGCATCCTTGCAGGGCAAATCCCCCTCTGTCCCCCCTCACCTCCCCTCTCTTTCCTCAGTCCTCGCCATCGTTTTCAAACGTAGGAGTCGAAGGGGGAGAAACCAGAAAGTCACCCCTTTCAAATCCATAGTCATAATGATCAACTCACCTTTCACTTGCTCGAAAATCGGAAATATTATACTTTCAACTTTCTTTTCGCTTCAATATTTTACTTTTTTTTTATGATATTTTCCCTTGGGGAATTTTTTTTTACTAACGGAAAATATTTTTTTTTTTCTTGAAAAAGGGAAAAAACATACTCGAATGATTTTTATTCTTTAATTAATATATTTTTGTTATTGTTATTATTGTTATTTTATTTAATTACATAAAAACATTTTGTAGAATAAGAGAAATTTGGAAAGAAAAGAAAAAAAAACTGTTTGCTTCATTCCGCTTGTGAGAGAATTTTCATGCCGTCTAGGCGGCAATTTAGTGAACTGCATTGGCGCGAAATTCAAACTGAGAAAATTTTTACTAACAGTATATTAATTAAAACTATTATTAATTCTTTCTCTTTTATTTATTAACAATATTTTAATATTCAGTAGTCAACACTGTTATTAATATAAAATAAAAAAAAATCTTCTTTTAAGTAAAGTTATTTTTAAAAAAAATAAATAATAATATTTTTTTCGAAAAAAAATAAATTATCAAAATAATTTAAATAAATATATATAATACATTTCCTTATAAATAAATGATCAAACATTGTTTTATCTACTTAGATAAAGAAAATAACTAACATTTTTTTTTGTTCTATAAAAAAAAGGGAAAAAATAAAATAAATAAATATGAAGAAAATAAAATAAATAAAATAAATAAAAATGAAGAAAATAAAATAATAAAATAAATAAAAATGAAGAAAATAAAATAATAAAATAAATAAAAATGAAGAAAATAAAAAAATAAAATAAATAAAAGAATAATTTTTCGTTTATAAAAAATCAATTCTAAACAAACATAACAAAAAATACCTTCTCATGTGATGAGAATATAATTTTTCCTCATGAATCAAGCTAAAAATAATAAAGAAAAATATATTATTGTCAAATTGCTTGTATTTTTTTTCTCAAATGTGACAAAAGTTTCGCGAATGTAATAAATAAATAAACATTTGATAAGAAAAAAAATATAATCGTTAAATTACAAAAAGTTTTCCTCAAGGGGAATCATTTTTAGAAGGTATAAATTAAAGACAAATCATTCTTCATGAACAATTTTCTGTTACTCTTTCGTGGAAGTTAGTTACACTTCGACTTATATAAAAATTCTTAAAAAAGGTAAAAATTTCTTAATTAAAAAAAAAAATTTTTTAATTTCTTAACTTTTTACTATATATGGGAAAAAAATTTTGTAATTAATTTAATTTCTTTACAATAAAACTACTTTAATACTGGATTTAAAATTATAAATTATTTTATTCAATTTAATTACTTTATTTCAATTAATTCAATTACTTTAATTCATTACATTAAATTAATTTAATTAAAATTATTAATTATTAATTTCATTACTTAAAGTCTTCAATTACATTAATTTGTTTAATAAAATCCGATGATTTTAATTTAATGAATTCATATGTTACTTTAAGTTAATTAATTTGTAAATATTTATTTCAATTAATTTATTTAGATGAAGTTCTATATGAGTTTTCTCTTAATTGTTGGACTTTTGGTCGTCACTATCAATGGTCAACCACCCTGTCGAAATCATTTAAGTTTTGTGAGTATAAAAATTATTTTTAATAGACTATTAATTATAACATGTACTGCTAATTAATAATAATAATAACAAGAATAATTTAATATTAATAATTAATGCATATTGTTAATTAAAAATATTACATAATAATTACTTCGAATAGTATTAATAATAACTTGACTAAACAACGAAAGTAAAACCAATATTAAAAAATCTGTTTTACGAAAAAATTTCTGTTTTTACTATTAAGCTATTTACTATTATTTTTGCTATTATTTTTGCTATTATTTTTACTATTATTTTTACTACTATTTTTACTATTATTTTTACTATTATTTTTACTACTATTTTTACTATTATTTTTACTATTATTATTTTTTTACTATTAATCATTAAATATTTTAATTTTACATTAAAAATATATATGTTTTTAAGTGTTTAAACACTCGAGAATGCTGTCCTCCTCTTGAATGCAGCTTCCGGGATAACAAATGCTTGTATCCAGGGTCTTGCCGAACGTGGGGACAATATGTAAATGAGTATAATTTTTATTAAAATTTTACTATTAATAAATATTTTCTTAAAAATCCTCAAAAGAAAAGTTGTGCTACATTAATTAATTTTTTTAATTTGAATTTTAATCATTTATTACAGTTATGCAATGAAAAAAATTTTTTTGTCGATGTAAAATATATTACAAAATGTGTAGATTATAAAAATAAAAAATATTCCTTCTTTTTATTGCTTAGTGTACTAGTGATGTAAGTTGCTGTGCTGGTCATCGTTGTCATCCAGTTCAGCAAAAATGTGTCAGAACCGAAGAACTTTGTTCACAATTCAACCAAATTGTAAGTTTAAAAAGAATAGAATCTTGAGTAGAGGGAAAATTTATAGAAAATAGAAATTAAATTAAATTCTACGAAAATGGAAAAAAAATTATATTTTATAGTTAATATTATAATATAATTATCATATTATCCATTATAATAATAATTAGCATATTATTTATTATAATAATAATTTAGCATATTATAATATTAATGTTTATGTAAATAATTATGTTTAGAAGAATAATTATTTTAACAAAAATATTAATATTAGTAAAAAATTTTGATGTTGATAAAAATTTTTATTAAAAGTATTCATTAAAAATATTGAAGTTAATAAAAGTTTTTAGTAAATTAAATTTTAGTAAAAGAATTCATTAAAAATATTGAAGTAAATAAAAATTTTTAGTAAATTAAATTTTAGTAAAAGAATTCATTAAAAATATGGAAGTTAATAAAAATTTTTAGTTACTTAAATTTTAGTAAAAGAATTCATTAAAAATATGGAAGTTAATAAAAATTTTTAGTTACTTAAATTTTAGTAAAAATATTTATGTTAATCAAAAAAAATTAATATTTGTTAATTTCTTTAAAGTGCAACGCCTTTCAACAATGCTGTTGGGGTACAAGATGCATTAACGGTCGATGTGGGCGTTAATCTAGTGGATACATAATAACAAAAAAAAATTGTAAATTCAAAAATTACAAAACTATTAAAAACTATTTAAATAAAGGAATTTTTTTCAAAAATTAATTTATGATTTTTTCCCTTTTCCCACTGCTAGAAATTAGCAAAAAAATGAAGAGAAATTTATTGGTATTAAAATTTTTATTGATTCCGTTTTGATTTTACTTTTGTTTTCTTTTGATTTCCTTTGTTTTTCTTTACTTTTTTCTTTTCTTTTATTTTCGTTTGTTTCTTTTGTATTTTATTTCACTTTTTGATTTTTCTTTTGTTTCTTTTTTCTTTTTTGGTTTTAATTTTAAATTTTCATTTTTGTTTCGTTTTATTTTGTCTTTTTTGGTTTTAATTTTAAATTTTTGTTTCATTTTATTTTGTTTTTTATTTTACTTTTTGATTTTTATTTAATTTTTTTTTTCTTTTACTTTTTGATTTTTATTTAATTTTTTTTTTATTTTATTTATTTATTTTTTTTAATTTACTTTTTGATTTTTGCTTCATTTTATTTCTTTTTTTTATTGTATTTTATTTTACTTTTTATTTGGTTTTCTTTTCTTTTTTTTGTTTTCCTTTTTTTCTTGTTTATCTGCCTTTATGCTTATTGAATTCAAAAAACCAAAAAAAAAAAAAAAAAAACAGTGACAATGAAGAAAATTGACGTTTATTTTTGTTAATTAATTGTATTATTTAATTGGCATGCTTGTAATGATTTTGGACATACATATGAAAAGTGTTTTATTTTAACGAAAATAATAATAAATTGGGGTGTAATATACGAAACTGAAACAAAACGGTTTAGCGGGCATTATTATCAGTATTACAATCTGTAATAGCCCTTTAGCACGTATCATGGAATATATTATATCGATTGATGATTAAGGAGTAAACTATTAAAATATCATGATTTCGTTCTGAATTAACCAATTTAATTGCATATTTTCGCATATATGTATTGCACACAATCTGCATGTGTATATGTATACATATTTATATAAATTTACCCTCAAAATCAAAAACAATATTCATATATATATATATATATATATATATATATGTATTACACAAAATTGTTATGACCTTTTGCTCAATTGTCGGTTTTGTTATATATATGTAATGATTATTACCTTTAATAATATCATTTTGTCATTATAATCTGTTATTTCAGTTATTTATATTAACGGGCGTAATTAATTTTCCCTCCAATAATTCTTAATCGTTGAATTTAAAAATTATTATAGTTACATTCTTTTTTATGTTACATTGTTATTTTAATTGACAAACTTAACTTTTAGTGTTCTTTAATTAATTATTTTCTTAATGAATTAATTAATTAAAATAATAAATTTTTCTATTACAAAAAATTTATTTAAATAATAAAATTTTATTTGAAAAATAGAAATAAAACTATGAAAAAATGGGGGTTTCGTAAAATAATTCCGGGAAAATTCAAATTAAATTTTATTTCTTTATGTTTATAAAAAATTAAAAATTTATTTTCAACATCAATTGTAATTTGTAAGTTAATAGTTCGAAAGAAAAAACAAAGTAGGTACATAAATTGCATCGAAGAGTTAAAGAGACAGTCACGTGACTTAGATAATTATCATCGCAGAACTAAATAAATTTTAAGCTTCTAGTATATGGAGGAAAAAAAAAATTGTGCCACTTTTTTCCACTGATTTTTATCGGTAACATTTTCTACCACTGTATATACTAAACGATGCCCCCATTTGGGTGCCCCTTGTGCCGTGCGATCATTAAACGGCCAGACACGCCGCAAAGAGATCCATCAGGGGTTTTATTTACTATATATATATTTATCGAAAAAATGATTTTTCTACTAAAAACAAATAAAAAACGATTTTTTGTTCCAAATTTTTTAAACAAATTAAATTATTGTAATTTAATTATTATTTTATACCCTTTTTTTTTGTTATTTTATGATTTTTTTTTATTATTATTTTATACAGTTTTTATTTATTTATAACAATTTTAAGTGTTACTATTATAATTAAATTAATAAACATAAATTAATAAATTTTATTTATATTTATTTTTATAAATATTTTTATTTATATTTATATTTATTAATAAACTTTATTTATGTTAAAATTAAACATAAATAAAATAAGAAAAGGAATAGAATAAAAAAGTCAAATAGAGTAAAATAAAGAGAGTAATATAAAATAGTCACATAAAAAAGGTAAAATAAAAATAATAAAACAGAAAAAAGATAAAAGTAGGAAAACAGAAAAAAAGTAAAATAGTAAAATAAGAAGAGAAAATTATAAAAAACAACTGTAAAATGAAAAAAGTAGATTAAAATAGTAAAATATAGGAATGGAAATGAAAAAAGAGAATAAAAAAGTAAAATAAAAAAAGAAAATAAAAAAGTAAAATAAAAAAAGAAAATAAAAAATAGAAAATAGGAAAAATAAAATAAAAAAGAAGTAAAATAAAAAGTGGAAAATAGAAAAAGGAAAATAAAAGAAGTAAAGTAAAAAAATAAAATACAAAAATAGTAAATTATAAAAAAAGCAAAGAAAGAAAAGAAAATAAAAATAATAAAGACAGTGAAAAAATAATTAAATGGAGTGAAAATATAATTTAGTTAAAAGGAAAAAAATGATACACATTTTCTTAGATTAATGAAGTATTATTATAGTTAATTAAATTAATAAAGTATTACTGTCGCAGATAAAGATCAATTTTTCTAAAGAATAAAAGAAACTGACAATAAATACAATTTTTATATAGAAAATAGAATTACTCTTTCGTATAGAGAAAAATAAGGAATGCTATTTTACTTATTCATTGATTCGTTCATTTTTTTTTTTTTTTTTTTTTTTTTTTTTTTTTTTTGATCTGATTCTAAGATTATAGTCACGTAGACGCTTCCATATAGCGTGCTTGAAAATTATAATACACTCTTAATTTGTCGCCTTGTCTGCCGAGTGAATATTTTATTAAACCCATAAAACGAAACACTCCGTTTACACCAAGGCAGGGATAATTTTCGGCTTTATTCACTATCTTCTACCACTTATCAAAAAAAAAAGATGAAAGAAATTTATTACCAATAAGAATATTGCTCATCATTTTTCACAAATAATATTTAATCAATTTCGATTTTAAATTTATGAATAAATGATAATAATTAAAATTGTATTTGTTGCCAAAGTACTGAACATTATTTCGATTAATAATAATTATTATGTTTTCAGAAAGGCATTTTATTGGTTTTTTTCTATTTATTATTTATTCTATTACTTACAGTTTATTCTCTATTTATTTTTTATTGCATTATTTATTTTTCACTAAATTCTACAGTAAAAGTAAAAATACAGTAATAGTAAAAATAAGCAAAATAAAAATACAGTAATACTAAAAATACAGTAGCAGTAAAAATATAGTTATAATAACAATACAAGAATAGTAAAAATACAGTAACAATAAAAATACAGTAATAGTAAAATAAAAACACAATAATAGTAAAAAATAAAAATACAGTAGTAGTAAAAATATACAGTAATAATAACAATACAAAAATAGTAAAAATACAGTAATAGTAAAAATACAGTAATAATAAAAATACTGCAGTAGTAAAAATACAGTAATAATAACAATACAAGAATAGTAAAAATACTGTATAGTAACAATATAGTAATAATAAAAATTCAGTAGGAGTAAGAAATAAAAATACAGTATAGTAAAAAGATGTAAGAGTAAAAATACAGTAATAGTACAAAAAAGTAAAATAAAAATACAGTAGTAGTGAAAATACAGTAGTAGTAAAAATACAGTACAAGTAAAAATACAGTTGTAGTAAAAATACAGTAAAAGTAAATATACAGTAATAGTAAGAATACTGTAGTAGTAAGAATACAGTAGTAGTAAAAATACAGTTGTAGTAAAAATATAATAATGATAAAAATATAGTAGTAGTAAAAATACAGTAATAGTACAAAAAAGTAAAATAAAAATACAGTAGTAGTGAAAATACAGTGGTAGTAAAAATACAGTACAAGTAAAAATACAGTTGTAGTAAAAATACAGTAAAAGTAAATATACAGTAATAGTAAGAATACTGTAGTAGTAAGAATACAGTAGTAGTAAAAATACAGTTGTAGTAAAAATATAATAATGATAAAAATACAGTAGTAGTAAAAATACAGTAATAGTAAAAATACAGTAACAATAAAAATACAGTAATAGTAAAAAAAAGCAAAATAAAAATACCGTAATAGTAAAAAGAAGAAAGAATCAAAATACAGTAGTAGTAAGAATACAGTAGTAGTAAGAATACAGTAGTAGTAAGAATACAGTAGTAGTAAAAATACAGCAGAAGTAAAAATGCAGTTGTAGTAAAAATACAGTAAAAGTAAAAAAAAGTAATAGTACAAAAATGTAATAGTAAAAATAAAAATACAGTAGTAGTAAAATTGTAGTAACAATAAAAATACAATAATAGTAAAAATACAGTAAAAATAAAAAAAGCAATAAGACTTTAATAAACAAATTAATAACTTATTTACAAATATAAAAATTCTAACTACACTGAAAGAAAAAAAGCAGTCGAAACAAAAAGAAAAAGACAATTCCTCATTTGAAGGGAGGATCAAAGTTGGTCTTGAGAATAGAGCACATTACTCAAAGCTTGGAAGTAAATCTTGGTAGGGCAACACGCGTTAAACTTAACAGTCGGTTAAGTTCAACAGTAGGGTGCTTTTGAGTGAGTGAGAGAGAAAGAGAGGGGTATAGATTTTGGTCTCTTGAATTGCAGTCAGAGGCATATAGAGTGAGAGAGAGAGAGAGAGAGAGACTGATACTGTAAGCCACCCCTTGTCCAAGTATATATCCCCAGTAGTCTCGTCTTATCTCGATTTGCATAAATTCATAGTTTGTGGCTTAAAGGCCACTTCAGGCCTAAAGATATAGCCCTAGAAGCATTGCAGACAACTTTCTTGACCAATGTGAAATTCAGCAGTTGGGATCACCAAGTTTCAAAATTCACCATTTCTATAATTCCATAAACACTGGGAGAAAAGAAAATAGTTGGGAATTAGTG